TAACCCAAATTAGGACTTATGCCTTTGGTTATGTAGCTTTCAAATTAGATTCAATTGTGCTATCTCTGCAGGTTTTGGTTGAAGACTATGGAGGGGAAGGGTAAAAAGACTAAAATGTGAAGTAAGAGGGAGAAAAACCGTGATACTGATAATATTTCTGAAAATGCAATAGCTCTGTGTTAAGTACTTTACATGACTTATTTAATTTTCACAAGTGTGAATAATGTGAAAATGTGCTTGATATTATTATTATCCCCATTTTACAGATGAAGAAACTGAGGCTCAGAGTGGTTAAGTAACTTGCCCAAGGTCACACAGCCAGTAGGTGACAGACACGGAGTTGAAACCTAGGCTACTTGCCTTCAATGCTTATGATCTAATTCACTACTTTATACCATGTAGAAAAGGACTGTAGAGATCTTGGTTCTTTCATTCCAGTTCTACCACTAAAGAGCAGTGGTAGGATGGAGTTGCCAGTAACTGAGATGAGAAGCCTGTGGATTAAACAAGTGGGTATGTTGTCGGTGGTGGTGGTGTTGAGTGTGAATGAAGAGTTCAGTTTTGGACTTATCGAGGTCCAGATGTCCAGCAAACATTCAAACAGCGGTGTAGAAATCCAAGTAGACAGGTACCAGAGGCAGCTAGATACTCAAGTCTGGACTTCAGGGGTAGATCTAGGCTAGAGACATCAATCTGGGACTTGTCAGCAGATGGCTATATTTAACCCTTGGGACTGGGGGAGATCTCCAAGGAAGGAAGTGTAGTTAAAGACGAAGACATCCAAGAACTGAACGATGGGGACTCCGATGTTTAGAGGGTAAGACTCAGCACGAGAGATTAAGGAAGAGCAGCCAGGGAGGTGGGGAACCTGCAAACCAAGTGAGGATGCTGCTTCAAGAAGGAAGGGATGGTGGGCTGTGTCAGATGTGACCCGCAAGTAGGGTAGGATAAGGACAGAGATGTACTCAGTTTGGCAGCTGAGGTGAGGGGTGGGGGGAGGTGTGACATCGTGGCAGCTTTGACAAGAGCAGGTTTTATGGAGGACAAAGCCTGAATGGCATGTGTTCAAGAGAGAAAAGAAGAGGAGGAAGCAAAACACTGAGTACTTCTCTAAAAATCTGTAGCCTGAATGAATTTCAGGATCAATGTACTTATCACAACCTCCCAGTTGTGGGAAGTCTCGGGACTTCCCTGGTGGTGCAGTGGTTAAGAATCCGCTTGCCAATGCAGGGGACATGGGTTCAAGCCCTGGTCCGGGAAGATCCCAAATGCCGCGGAGCAACTAAGCCCATGCACCACAACTACTGAGCCTGACCGCTAGAGCCCACGAGCCACAACTACTGAGCCCGAGAGCCACAACTACTGAAGCCCATGCGCCTAGAGCCCGTGCTCCACAACAAGAGAAGCCACCACAATGAGAAGGCCGCGCACTGCAACTAGAGAAAGCCCGCGCGCAGCAACTAAGACCCAACACAGCCCAAAATAAAATAAACAAATAAATTAATTAATTTAAAAAAAGAGTGAATTGAAAACAGACAAATACCATATGATTTAAAAAATAATAGTGTGTCTCTTACTAGATCATATGATCTTTGAAGGTCTAGGACCATAATTTATCTTTTAAGTGCCTTGCACAAGCTTGGTGTTTAAATAACACAGAATTTAATTAAACTTTTAAAAGAAAAGGGATATTCTTGTTTAAATCTCCTGAATCTGTGCTTGGCAACACTTAAAGCACCCGTACCCCCAACATAAAGACACTTCTGGAATTAACCAGTGACAACAGAAATTTAGTGTTGCTTTTTCTTTTTTTACCCACTAAAGATCAAGTTTTCATGATGCGATCAATTTTGAGAGGGCTGAATCTGTTAAATGCGTATCTTATAATTCTGGTTCAATTGTTGGGGTGAGAGAAAAATTACAAAAAACCCACCTCATCCCTGCCAACACATTGGTTTGTGTGAATCACAGCTCAGTGAAACCTTTCAGGCATATAATTTATCTTTTCTTTGGCCTATGTAGTAAATGCTTCATTTGTTCATGAATTCTGGCCTTGTTTTAATTATGCTATGCTCTGAATGTAGTTTTATAAGGCACAAAAATAAGATTGTCGTTCTGAAAACACAGAAGATTTGTGTGTTTCCCCCAGAATGAAATGGTGGCATCTTTCTCCCAATTCACGGCTCTGTGGGTTTGTGGTTGGAATTCCAATCCAGTAAGAGACACACAGTGAAACCGGGTGGTGGGGGGGGAGGACTGAGTGGGTGGGAGAGGAGAGACAGCTGACATGCTGAGCCGAAGGCATAATTTACCCTAAGAATTCTCAATCGATACATTGACGCCACTTATGCATAATGTGCTACTCCCACCAAGAAAGCCATTGATTGAGAAGTTTTATTCCTGTTACTTTCTGAGGGCTGGACTCTTTCATTACACTTCCAGGACAATTGATTTTTCCCCAAAATACAGACTGTGCAGCCAGGGATCAGAACAGAAATCTTAACAATCAGAAGGCTGTTTTGCTGTTATTGTTAAAAACCTTTACAGATATATGTATTTGAATATCCACAAGTTTACAGACTGGAGGAGAAATGAGTGGCTATTTCATAACTTTTCCATGTTTTATAAGCACGTAGGGCAGAGTGAGCACTCCACATTTCAAATTCCAATGATACAGCCAACCAAAAATGGAAATTTGTAGTGGAACAAACACAGATGCAAATTGCATGGGTGAATCTAGGGAAACAAATTAACTTATTCCGAAAGGAAGATAAGTGACAATTTTTAGATTTTCTGAGAGGTTACTATAACTTCAAAATATCGCCCACAGGCTTGACTGTATTAAATACCTGCCATGTTCCCAACACAGACCCCATCTTCTGAATCTAATCTCATTCTGGAACTCATTCCACTCCAGTTGAGGTGCTGTCCCAGAGCATTCAATTAAAAAAAACAAACTGAGTTGATAAAGCAGGATTCTAAAACTTTCTGCCCTCTTATTAGGATAGGAATGGATTGATCACATTAAGTTTTTAAGGTTAAATACTTTCAAGGGTCAGTTATCAGAGGCTGAACTGGTTTACTTAATTAGGATGGGGATTTGGATGCATCACAGACACCTATCCCAAGACGGGTAAAGCTCAGTCCTTCATTCTCTTTCCATAAATAACTCAGTCTTTTCCTAACTCAAGCAATGGGCTGGCTTTGGATGCCCATGAAAATGAAACATGTGACTATTCAAAAACTCAGAATGGCCTTAGTAGCCCATGACCAATAACAAGAAGGCAACAAGAGTTTCCCCACTCAAAGTAAAGTAGTAAATAGCTTCTCAAATATTCATGAATATTGATGACCAGTTTATAGCCCCAAGACAAGGATCTTTCGGGCTCCAGGTTTATACACTTGATGGAAGGTTCCCTGGGCCAGGTAGGCTAATTCTCCTTGTGTCTGGACATCCTCTCCAACATTTGGCCTTCCCCACCAGAGCACTGGGCACCTTGCATTGTAACTGTGAGGTTTTTGTACCTCTTCTCTCTCTAGACCAAAAACTCCCTGAGCACCGGGACCCTGTCCTGTCCACCACTGTGGCCGTGCCTCACCTGTGCCTGGCAGTGTCACCCTCAGTGAAGATTTGATGCCAGCATACATTTGAAGACTCACTTTGAATTAAACAGAAAGCTATTCAATTGGCTCCTGAACTGCTGCATTTGGGGAAGGGCAATTTTTCTAACTTTTGAAAGAAAATATAAGAATCAGTTCTTAGAGTAAAAATTTACAGAAATGACAAGAATGCTGATAGCATGAGCCTAAACATACGAGCCTTATCATCTGTTCCTCAATTCTAACAGTCCAGAATTTTCAGTTGGTGTCTAATATTTACAGTATAATTTTTGACACCCTCCTGGATACATTAAAACCTCAGATTAATGTGATACTCATTTTCCTGAAGGAAAGTAATATCTGGACAGTGCTTAGAACACAGCCTGGCACATTGCAAAGGCTACATAAATGACAGCCAGTGTTATCATTAGCAACTTGGCAGGGAAGCTGGTTGTCATTAAGACAAATATATTGACAGCCACGATACACGACCATGTAATAAAAAACAGCCCATTTAATTTTTTCCTGGGTCTAAGCTCAAGTAGAGGCACTTTACTCCCAAATTTTGAAAAATACTGTTGTTTAAATCCATTAACTAAGGGAATAAGTGCCTTAAAATACAATGTATCTACTTTTATTTCCTTCTTCATTCAAGGAGTTCTTTTCTCCGTCCCCAATACAAACAAACTCTCAAGGTTAAAATCAAACGCTCTTTTTAAGATCAAAAGGACTTGCCTTTCTTTGCGCAGGAAAGAAAGCAACCGGTTCAGATGCCTCCTTAAAAAAAAAAACAAAAAACAAAAAAACAAAAAACTCGTTTTTTACAAAGGTATTACTCCAGCGTGTTGAAAAATAATTTGTACATAAAAGAGTCTGCCCAGAGCTGTAAAAGCTCTTTCTCTAAACGCACACTTTAGTGCAAAAGATAGTTAAAGATCAGTCCAAGCTATTAAACGTTAAGAAGTGAAATGCATTCCAACAAAAGCCCATAAACATTCTGTATATGAAACCAGCTACTGAGACGGGCAGGTATTTAAGTCTTTTAGGAACCGTTTTTATTCTGCTAATGCTTTTCCCTCCAGACTCCATTTGATCATAAATGCAACCTGTCCACCTCTGCCTTTGATAAATGGAAGGACAGATTCATCTGTATGTGACTCACCTCCTCTTTTCTTTTACGTGAAACAGATGCCACAGCTGTTGTTGTTCTTCCAACAGATGTTTCTGCCCCGCAGAAACACTGGCGAGCACCGCGCTGCAATGTGCTGTTGGTTCTAGAGGGATCCACGGCTTGATACCTTGTCAGGACCCCTCCATGATGGCACAGCAACACACGTGCAATCGTCTTGCCCCACAAGTGCCCCCCGAGCCTGCATTAAGAACAAAACGGACTGTCTTACCCTCTCTGCAGGGACATCGTCCGACTGCGTGGAGAATCCAGGAGTTTCGGCGGTGGGGTGGTGATGCTCTGCACGCTTGGCTTCCTGTTGGCGGTCCACGAGGGCCTTGTCCCGTCCCTTGTCCAGTTTGAAGAGTCTGTCAAAGAAGCTGGAGTCCTTGGGCTTGGAGGGGGCTGCCCCTCCGGACTCAGATAGACGAGACTCTGGTCCCCAAGTGGCAGACAGCCCCTCGGCTTGGGCTGGGGTCTGCACGGGGGTTTTATCTGGGTCGCAACCCAGTGCAGCTGCCACCGGAAGTGCCATGGGCTCACTCGGGTCTTTGTTCCCTAGAGCTTTATCGGAGCTGACATCAAGCTTCACTGGTCCAGTGGATGAATCCGTGGCTTGGTCTCCGGTACGTCCTGGTACAGGCCGAGAGAGTGTCAAGAAAAAACGAGATTTAGCAGCTGGTGTCTGGGGTTTGGCCTCCTTCCCAAGATTCTTCCCGTTGGCATCCGCAACAGCGCTTATCTCCATTGTCTTGGGGGAAGAAGTGGCCACATTATCCTCCTGGACACTTGTTTCCAAATCAACTGTAAACACAAACATAAACAGCGGTCATTCAGCCCAGCGAGGAAATTCAAGGATTTCTAATGGACTCCCAACGTCTCCTACACAGAGGCTGTGATGCGGTCTGGGACTCTGCTGTGCCTGGGTCCCTCTGCAGAGCAGAGGTCAGCTATCGAGGTGTCTTCTGACACTGCTTTTCTCTGGAGAGAGGAATGGAAGATTAGGGAAGACGAAAGCCAAGTTACTGGAAAGCACGCACCAGGTGCTGTGTTAGTGACACATTAATTATCTTCTTTATCTCCGCGGGAATCCCGTGAGAAGCTAATTATCATGATTTCACCTGGGAGGCAGGACAGCAGTTATGGGGTTAGGAGAACAAGTTTCCCAGCCTCGGGACTTATTGCCGTTTGGGGCCGTATCATTCTTTGTTCCAGGGTCCACCTTGTGCCTTGCAGGGTGTACGGCAGCATCCCTGGCCTCTACCCACCAGATGCCCATAGCAGCCCCTAGTGGTGACAACCAGAAGTGTCTCCGGAAGTTGCCAAATGTCCCCTGGGGGCAAAACTCACATTCGAGAACCACTGAGCCAGACTGTCAATTTGAATCTGAGTTACTTCACTTTTCTGTGCCTCAATTTTCTGGTAAAATGAGGCAAATAGTAGAACATACACCCATAATTTTGTCATGAAGGTTCCATGAGTTAATATTTTTAAAGCACATCAAACAGTGCCTGGAATATAGTAAATGCTCAATAAATGTTATGAACGTTAGTTATTGTCATTATTCATGAGTGAGAAAATGGACAGCCAGAGAGGTTGATCCACCTTCCCACAGCTGGCCAGCAAGCAGAATGTGGTTATGGGCAGAAATCTGACTCGAAAGTTCATGCTCTATCTTATATTCTAGAAAGTTTCCATTGTGAAGTCTGGAAGTTCAGATGTCTACACAGGAAAGTGGATTAGACCTTGGGCCGCATGGAGGCGGAGAGTAGCATTACCTGTGCAAGACTGTGGGTGCAGGTTCTGCCCCCTCCAGGGAGGGGTGCTGTTTCCAGAATCCACCTGTTTCTGTTTTGAACTCTGCATCGACCTAACTGAACTGCATCCTTTTCGAGGGCCCTTTTCTAAAGCAGTGCAATATTAAGGAAAAAAGATACACTACAAAATTGGAAATCACAGTTAAAGATCAAGATTCTCTACCGATAAGCTGTGTGACCTTGGGCAAGTCACTAAAACTCTTTGAATTTTCCCATTGGTAAAATGGGAAAAATAGAAGCTCCCTTGCAGGGTTGTTCTGATGTTTAAAGGAGAAAACTCATGCAAAGGATCAAGAATCCTGCCTTTTCCATAGTAGCTGCTTAGTAACGGACAGATACTGTGACTGTGTAGTTTGTAGTCAACCACTTCTTAGTATCTGTTTGCAGGAAGATAGAGAAAGAAGAGAACCGCGGTTTATTTAGCTCATCTCATATTGCTCGTAGGTAGTGAGAGATACACACATCCATTAGCAATTATTTTTGCCAAACTCTAGTATCTCACAGTGTCTAAAGTCAAGAACAAACAGTAAAGGAGAGAGAGAGGGAGGGAGAGATGGAGAGAGGGCTCTGGATTCCTGTGCAGGGTGGTGGTCTCCTCTTTAAGCTTTGAGAAGCAGAGAAGAAATGGTACGGAAGACCAGTGACAAGCACTAGGGGCTCCTCATAAACTCAGACGCTTTATGAACATTGGATATATCCTTTGGCTCTTCTTAACCATTTTTCTTGTGGTCCTGGAATTCGTAATTGTGGTAACTATTATACTCAGAAGGGAAGAGGGAGGGAGAGAGTGGGAATAAAGAAGTGATGGATGGATGTGTCAAGATGCCAAATAAGCAACTCAGGCAGTTGAACTGTCAGAGTGAATATAAATGAATTGTGGGGATGCTCCATGCCAGGAGAAGGGGAAGCAGTTGACAAAAAGGGAGGAGACGAAGATTCAAAACAAGGAAGGGCTTTTCAAAATGCCAAGAACATCAACTGATCTCCTTTAGCCTTCCCTACTCTCTGGCGGGACAACAAGGAGCTAGTGGTAAGTGAGAGTGTTACAGTCAGAGAAAAAGTCTTTGAAAAAAACCTTCCCATGGACAGAATTCTAAAAAAGTGCCAATATATTGCTTCAATAAAGGATCCATTCCTTACATCCAGGTATCTAAACTAGACTTCAATGCATGAAGAGTTACAGCAGATACAAACCATGGCTCTTGATATCAGAGAATGGGTAAAGTGTTTTTGATAACTTGTAAGAACTAGGACCTCTTAGATGGGGCAACCCATTTCCATGAAGCTCTGCCCCCCAAACTGGGGTGAGTGTATATCCAAGTCCATCATCTGGAGCTTCTATTTCCCTTGCTAAGATGCTCACCTCCTAGGTGGGCACATGACCTAAGCTACACTAACAAAAATCGATCTTGCGATTTTTGCTGAACCTACTAGAACAGTTACAAATCTTTGTGCTTGGGTTGGCAAACCAGTAGGAGGTACAACTGGAGCTGGTGGCCTTGGCTGTCACCTTTCAGAGTGCCTGCCTGAGAACTAACATAGATGAAAAGCAGAGCCAAGAGATCCATGGGAACATTTGGACACCTGAATCCAGCTGTCCCTGAAGCTGGTTTACAATTACATAGCCATAGCCAGCAAGTTTTTTTTTTTTTTTTTCACTTATGCCAGTTCAAATTAAGTACATACTCAGGGACTTGGAGAGAATTTCAGGGAATTGGTGAGTACCTATTTTACCTGTTAATTAATAGCAATCAATCCTCTCCTTGAGAAGTGGTCTCCGGGCTCTTCAAATATGTCTAGGAGGCATTTAATATGGGATGAAGGAGGGGGAAGAAAATGAAATGGGAGAAAGTGAGTTCTAAGAAGCTGGATAGAAACAAAAAACTACCCACCAACACTTTGTTTTCTCAGTAAAAGTGAAGGAAAAAAATCCACGTGGGCAAAGAGATTACAGTCATTTGAGACCTTAGATAAGCATTAAAAACCAAATAAATTATGTTCTGAAACATTAACTTACACACACACACACACACACACACACACACACACACACACACACACACACACCCAATCTGTGTGAATGAGTAGGAAGAAAACCCATTGGAGTTCCAGGTTTTATATTCTTGCAAAGATGGGGATAATTTACAAGGCTTCCTCACATTATTATGGAAAGAATAAAAAGTTCCTTCTAGATGACTGGAACTAAGCTTTCTGTTCCTATGAAAAATCTTGGGAGAAGCCCATCTGGAGTCTGGTTTCAATAAAAAGTTTTCTCATAAAGCAGACAAACAGATGACATACCAAAGAGATTTTACTTTCCATGAAAAAAATGTGTAAGAATTTAAGGAAGATAAAAAGAAATCAAGTAAGAATGTAAATGGTAGCTCACAAATATTTAGAAGAGTTGAAAATTTTGATCTCCTTAATGCAGAAAAGATATTTTGTAGTGTGTGTGTGTGTGTGTGTGTGTGTGTGTGTGTATGTGTGTGTTTTAAGAAAGTCTTTTTTTTTTTTAATTATTTTTTGGCTGCGTTGGGTCTTTGTTGCTGTGCGCGGGCTTTCTCTAGTTGGGGTGAGCAGGGGCCACTCCTCTCTGCAGTGCGCGGGCTTCTCACTGCAGTGGCCTCTCTCATTGCAGAGCACAGGCTCTAGGCGTGTGGGCTTCAGTAGTTGAAGCACGCGGGCTCAGTAGTTGTGGCTCGTGGGCTCTAGAGTGCAAGCTCAGTAGTTGCGGCACACGGGCTTAGTTGCTCCACGGCATGTGGGATCTTCCTGGACCAGGGCTCAAACCCACGTCCCCTGCATTAGCAGGCGGATTCCTAACCACTGTGCCACCAGGGAAGCCCTAAGAAAGTCATTTTATCTAGACATGTGATGGAGATGAATGGCATCTTAGCGTAATTGTTAAGTACTTAGATTGTGGATCAGAGGGACCCGGGTTTAACCTCTGAAATATTAAATATGTGACCTGGACAAGTTACTTTATATCTATGCCTCTATGCCTCAATTTTCTTATAAAATGGACAAGAAAATAAGTGTCTTCTTCAAAGAGTGAGGATTAAGTGAAATACTTCCTACATGGTACTTAACATAGGTGGGTACGTGGTGGATGTTTAATAACTATTAGTTGTTTTGTTATATTTATATATTATTACTACAATTACTATTTAATTTTCTAAATAGAAGCATAAGGAAAGGAATTATTCCAATGGTTTAACCTCTAAATTTGGGCGCTCTGGAAAGACTTTTAAAATAGTAATTATATGAATTAACTTATCTTCAGAAATCTAAGAACCTGGGCCAGAGAAGTTTGAAGAATGCTTTTTCCAAAGCACCAAGTATTCTTAGTTAAAACAAACTGCTTCATCAGATTTCTATCACATATTTAAGACACACACATACATACACACACAAGGTTTGTGTTACACTATTCAGAACTTCTGAGTAAGGGCTATCTTTTGTTTTTTTCATGTGCTAAAGCTACAATTTTCACTTGGTACAACTGTAAACACAATAGCTAATATTCAGGGGATGTTTCCCAGGTGCCAGGCATTATAGTAAATGCTGTATGTAACAAGATACATTTTATTTATGTATTATAGCAAATCTGTGCTAGATACCATCAGCACTCCCATTTTACAGGTGTGGAAACTGCGGCTCTGAGAATAAAGTCACTTTTCTAACATTATCCTGCTCACAAGTGGTGGAGTCAGGATTTAAACACATGTTTGCCTGAATTCAAAGCTCAAATTCCTAACAATGTATTGTAGTAGAAGCAAGAACAGAAGAGCAAGGGAGGAAAGATGAGTGGAACAAAGTTTGGTTAACAGAATTAGTGGATTTTCAAGGAAAAAAAAAAAAACTCTGCACAAGGGGGAATAAAAGCCTGTGCTTTCTCATATCTGGGCAACATTGGTGTATGATTTTTGCTTATTTGTTTTAAATAAAAATCAGATCATATCATTAATCTGCATAAAACTATCCAAA